GCGGCGCGCGGGGTTTAAACCGGCGGCGGTTACCGGGCGGGTGTTTCGCTGCTGGGGCGGGACGCGGGCCCTGTCCCCGGAGCCGCTGCCATGGACTCCCGCCTGTGCCGCAATGTCTACCCGGGCCTCGTCGTTAACATCCAGCGGAGTAACGGTGAGGAGCGGGGTGGGGAAGTCTGCGGGGCCTCCGCCCGCCGTGGGGGCGGCCGGGCCTGGGGGCTCAAGGTCGGCCTTTTCCAGGTTTGGTCCACAAGGCGACGGTGAGCGCGGTGAACGTGGAGCAGTGCTCGGTGCTGGTGGAGTGGTCCGAGGCCGGCATCACCAAGGGCAAGGAGGTGAGTGGCACCTGCCCGCGGACTCTTCCTTCCCTTGCCCCGGGGCGCTCCAACGCTCCCGGCATGGATTGTGCCTCGGGAAGCCCGGGCTCATGCACGGCCCCAGCTCTGCTCTGCCCCCTCTCCCCCGGCTGGGTGGGCAGCGCTTCCCCCACGCTGGTTCCGTACGTAATTAAAACCGTGACGCCGATGTGCCCAGGTGGGACGCGAAAGGTGCCTTCCCAAACCCTTTCAAAACGAACGAGGGGGTGTTGAGCCTTTCGCTGGTTTTGAATGTCCCAAAGTGCCCGTTTTTCAGCTCTTGCGGGCTGTTTTGTTGGTTTTCTGCGCTTCCCGACTTTCCTTAAGGCGTTCCACTGCTGGAGTGCCGCGTTAAGGGGGCTGGGTTTGATTTCGTGAATCTCTGCACTGATGTAAAATAAATGCTATGAGATTAGATGGGGTTGGGACAATTTGAGGCTGATGTAGCTGAAATACTGACACTGGACAAAATCTCCCCTTATCACTGAGCAAATGTACTTTTCTTCCTGGTTCCTCTGGAAATGTGCACTCTGGAGTTCAGTGAAAATCCTAAAAGTTGCTATTCGTTGGTTCTTTGAAACCAAAGGTGTGCATGTACCTGCTGCATTCCAATATAAACAATGTGCAAATTCAGATATGATGGCTGGCTAAATTGCATGTATGCGTTAGGATATTAAATCTTTATGAAGACTCTTCAAAATCCAGTGATTTTTCTTATGTGCCTAGGAATATACACTGTGTATGTGCTTGCACACACTTAAAAATTATTTTGTCCACGTACATGCTTCTGAGCTAATTCAGTTTCAAATTAGCTGCTAATCAGTTCTGTATAAACCAAATTTTTATAGATTGCTTCACTTATGCTAGAAGGTAGTATCTTCACACTTTACAGAGGTTTGCCTACTTGAATTTTTTCTCTTTTTTGGACTCTTCTTTTATTTAAGTAATTTGGAAGTTAATTGATTAGTCAAGAACTTCCTCGAGTGGTGCTTTTGTTACCTTCTTAGGTGAATTCCAGTTGCTGCTGCTGCAGTACCAGATTTTTTTGTGTACGGGTGCTTTCAAGCTCTTCAGTGGGGAAACGTTTGAACAATGGAATGGAGAGTGACTCGCTGTATTTGTGCTGAGCCTGCCCTTGGCTGCCTGCCCCTTCCCTGCCTGTGCCAGGGCACCCTGGTGAAGGCAGGATTATCATTTCAGGGAGGGTTAGTCAGGAGGTGACAACTGGCCCGAGGTGCAATTGCTTGCAATACCAAGTGAAGATGCAGGTGAATTAAGTTATGGATTAAATGCTGAAACCTTAATTTCCCAAAGTCTAAGCGGCTCTTTGACGTTTATTTCAGTAAGTGCAATCACACAGTGAACACTTAATGCTCTCCCAGCGCAGAAGTCACAGAGCTGCTGAGATTTACTAAGATTAGCAGTGAGGGATTAGACCAGCGGATACCAAATGGGCTTTGCCCATCTCTTCAGAAGTGCTCTATGGCACCTGCAGAGCTGTGTGGTGTTTGGCAGATGAGGGTAAATGGCTTAACTAGCACATTTCACTGGCATATTTGCATGTACCAGACTATTTAAACAGAATAGGAACTGAACTACTGTCTTGCCCTTCAAGGCAATTTTAACTTAACATCTGCCAGGTGGTGGGTCAGGTTTGTTTGCCTGTACTGAAAGCCAAAATTAGAAAAAAACCCTGTGTGCTGAGTGGTAGCAGCAATATTGCACTCTGTAAAACCCTGCCTTTGCTCTTGTAGATTGGTATTAATGATGTGATAGCAGTAAATCCAGAATTATCAGAACTGCCTGCTGCTGATGTGAAAGAGAACGTCCCTTTGCAAGACAATGTAACTGCACAGGTAAGTGCTTTAAAATAACTTAGACTCTCCTAAGGTATTAAAGCGTCAACAGCGTGGGTCTTGTTATTTATAATACCCTCAGTCTTATAGTCTGAGGTCTCTAAAATGCTTTTTCTGTCTCCTACTTAGGCTTTGGTCAGGAATTCTTGTTGTATCAGTGTTGCCCTGTAGAGCTGTGCTAGGTGTTTGCTGCTTACTCTGATTGCTTACAGTACCCATTGTTTTCCAGAAACAGACGCGTAGAACAACCCTCTCAAAAATTCCTGCTCCACGGGAAGGTAAGGAAGCGTTTGTTTTTTTTTTTCTTTCCTCTGCTATATTCCTGTGGAATGGTGCTGGTCTTTCATAATATTCTACTTTAGTGCATCGTAAAGCTTCTCATTCAGTGCTAACAAAGAGGATACCACTTCATACCGACGTTTCGGACTCCTGTGGGCAGTGACTCTGCTGGCAGGTTGCTGCCCTGTTCCCGTGAGATGGGGTTTGTTGATGTGTTGCCTTTTCTGCAGCACTCCTGCAGTTATCCCGGGCTTTAAATGCCACTAGGCAGTTACTGCTGCGGCGAGTTTTAAAGTTCCTCATGGAGTTTTGCAAATGCCACACACAACAGAAGCGAAGTGGCAGTTATTAAGATTAAAGGTGTCAAAAGGAGAGCGGAAAGGACACGAAAGAAACAGCGGTGACAAATGGATGTCTCCTCTTCACACGGTCTCCCCAGACAATAACTAGAGCTTTATGCTTGGCGACGTTTCAGACCAGGCAGCCAAAGCGCCAGCTGGTGTGGCCCAGCTCAGAGATTGCGTGTCAGTGCAATGTGTTGAGCAAAGCCAGAAGAGAAGATAGAGATGTCAATGTGGGATTGCTAAGGAATTGTTCTTCCTGAGGTGTCAGGAGTCAGAAAATTCCCGTGTTTTCTACCTTCTTTTAGCTTATTAGTTGACTGTTTTGGCTTTTTGAACTGCAAGTGGCAGTATTACAGGCCTATTTGTAATACACTGCCCGATGCTGAGGTTGAATGTTTACTAATTTAATGATTCTCTAAAAGTGCATAGTTAGCCAAAACTTGTGCTTCTCCATGCAATTGAGCTGTAAACAAAACAACTGGGCTTGTCTGGCTTCTTTTGTTGCATGCAATGCAGGACAAGGAAGCTGGTCCCAGCAGACAACAGTGCAAATTCCCTGGTGTGGGAGAGGCAGGAGTAGTCCAAAAAGCTTAATGTATAAAGAGCTGTTCTGTACTAGAGTATCCTGATTTTCCTCAAATTCAGAGAACTCCCTAAGTTTTGTGAACTGACAAATAAAATGATGCAGTAAAGTCATGCCTGCGTATAGACAGGTCAGTTAATGGAGCTGGATAGCCAGCTGGAAAAACAAAGATATGTTAATCCAGTCACTGACTGATGGGAAGATGTCCTTGCAAAGGTCACAGCTCTCCTGAAGTATAGAATCTAATTGCAAATTTGAAATACCTGTTGCCTGTCCTACTGAAGGTCCCTGAAGACCTGCTCAGAGCACAAGAGAGAAGCAGTGTTTTCAGTATTCCTGAAATAACTTTTGTTGTTATAACTAGCTAATGCCCACCAGTGTCAGAGTATGGCTTCAGATTGCTGTTACACTTAAACAAATTAAAGAAGATCAGGAGGTATCTGCTTCCATCTGACTGAGGAAACGAGAGAAGTAGAAGCAGAGCTTTAGGAATTAAGAAATAGGTATTGCCTCAGTCCTACAAATCAATAGGGATTTTGGAGGATGCTGAATATCCTCACATACCAGAATCACTATCAGACCCATTTAGATACAGCAAATCCTCCAGTTAATCTGACTGTTCAGGAGCACCAGCATTTACAGAAACAGTGCTGCTGTGTGTGTGATGAGAACAGGTCTGGGCACGTGCGACAACAGCAAATGGAATAAAAAAGCCATTTTTGAGTATAATGAAACTGATGCTTTTTGTTTCTAAAATTGTAGCAGTCACACCTAATGTCTCTGCAGATGAGCAGAAGATTTCAGGTAAAGAGTTAACAGACAGGAGCACTGAATTTTGTGGGTATGGTTCTGAGGAGTTTGATTCGAAATTTAAATGAACCCTTGGTTTCAAACTGATCTGGTGTCCTTTGAAATCACGGTGATAATTTTGCATAAATTCTGGTAATTGCTAGTCATGACAGGTGAAGGGAGTTCCAGCTTGCACATCATTTCTTTTCAAAATAAGACTTGCTTTTTGGTTTTTTATATATTTATTGAGGGGAATGTTCCAATCCTTCCCCTAGGAAGCTTTGCAATGGACTTGGTCTCAATGCAAAAAATATCATGGCATGTGACAGTGGAGACCTGCCTACAAAAGGACCTTTTCCAAAGATTTTATGTCGTGATTATACAGAGTCTTTCAGCTGAAATTAGTGTTACAGGGCTCCCACAGCCAGTGCCCTGTCACCATCAAAGAGTTAATTCACAAGTGGGAAGTTTCAGAGGATTTCCCAGTTCCGACTTGTAACTTCCTCCTTCCTAAGTATCACGATGCTGCAACTGCCATAACCTTATGTGAATCCTTAGTGGTATCTGAAAGGAATTCACTGGAATTGCAAATCTGGAATGAATTGTTTGCTTTTCTATAGTGGTGTGTTTAATGATCACTCTTCACCCACCTGCACTGTTTTGTTCTTTGTGCACTTTGTTATTGGAAAAGGTCCTTTTAACCACACCTTATTCCTCACTGTTCTGCACTTTGTGAGCGCTCCATCAATTACAAGTGTCTGAGTTTCCCTGGGTTCCTGTTTCCAAAGCTGTGCGTGGCCGTTCCAGGATGTCTGCAATCACAGAACCTCAGTGCAGCCTCCAGGAAGATGACATGGCAGTAGATCCCAGCACTTCTGTGCAAGACAGAAAATTTTTGTCAGTTTCTGGTGAGTGGAGAAAAAAACTCAGTGAATTCTTACTATGAAACAAGGTGCTTTGTGTGCATTTAATTAGGCAGACTACAAATCCCAGGGGCGTTAGCAAACCTGTACTCCTTCACAGACAAAACAAGAGACCTCGAGGTCTGCCACTATGCAAATATCCAGAGCTCCTACCTGAAGGGGTTTCCAAAGGACATGTTGTGCATAATGATGGACTTTATCAGCCAGAGAGCTGCAGCTGTGCATGTTGGGTGGATGTGGTATCTGCTCAATGGCATAAAGTGGTATTCGTGGGGCTGGAGAGGGAAGAGAAGTGCCTTAATACTGCTGACAACATGCTCTCTAACTATACTGGTCGTAGTTTTACCTACACTGGTTGAGTAAAGCAAGAACTTGAGCCTCCTTTGAATTATGAAATTCTAGTTATTTATTTTACCAGGCTACCCTATGAATAGCTGAGGGCATGCTTTACATCTTAAGTTCTGTGAAAACATTGAAATAAGAGGCTTGATACTAAATTCTTCTCTAGTTGGTGAGGCTTTGATTTGCAGATTTGAATAAAAGTTGGTGATTGATTGGCAAAGAATTTAAAAGTTTACTTGCACATTTGCTAGTTCTCTCTCCTGATCCAGGAGCTGAGGAATGCCTGTGGTCCATGAGGCTTTAGAGATTGCAGAATCATTCTTGACCTTTGAGATTTAATTATTGGTTTTGGTCTGGCTTCTTTCTGCAGCTGGCCGAACCAGGGCTAGCAGGCTGGGCTGTGTTCCAGAAGCCTCACTGCCAAGTGTAAATGAAAACACAGAGAACCATCTGCCTGCTGCTAGAACGAGCACTTCAGGGAGCCCAGGTACCAGGGAGCAGTGGATAAAGACTGACTCATCAGTCAGCAATGAATCACTGTGTGATTGCTGCTTTGTATACTCCAAGACTAAAGCTTTGAAAAGGTGACTTTGGCAGCAAGATTGAATATCTTGAGTATTTCTTTATTAAAAATGTGTAATTCTGTCCTAGTGGTATTGCCTCAGGATTGCTGCCTTTGCTTTAGAGTGGTAGTGCGACTTCCAGGGCAGTTTCCCTGGTAGGTAGATCTGGTTTGGGAAGGAAGTGCTGCAAAACCAAGATGATTGTTTCCTGTACAAGTTAGTCTGCCAGCAACCTGGGAAAGCTGAAACATTTGTCTTGTGCTTTAAAACCTAGTATGAAAATTTAGTCCAGTGAACTGTTTTCAATTTGTCTAGTTCGGAGAAGATCTAACATTGTGAAAGAGATGGAGAAGATGAAAAGCAAGAGAGAAGAAAAAAGAGCTCAAATCAGTGAAATCAGGATAAAACGAGCGCAGGTACTCTACAATACACCTGTAAGGGGCAATTCTATGGGAGAGTGTACCACAAATGTATTTTGGACAGGCTTTGTTCTTATGAGGTTTTGCATAAGGATGGATTGATTCTAGTTTCAGAAAGTTCAGAATCTTTTGAAATGCTTCTAATTACTTACAGCTGACTACTTAGTAGGCTTTGGGGCTTTTTTGCTGTAACAGATCTATTACCCTCACATCCATGGTTTTTCCCCGCAGGAGTTTGACAGCAACTGTCCAAACTGGGAGTTTGCACGAATGATCAAGGAATTCAGAGCAACTTTAAACTGCCAGCCAATATCTCTAGATGATCCAGTAAGTAAATACTGAGGCTACTACCTGCAGCCTGTAGACAGACTTCATTTTGTACTGAAAATGTGGTACTGAGCAGCTGGTACATCACTGCACCTTGGAAATTCTCTGAGCATATTGTGAGCTTGAGGCACCTGGTGATATGTGTGAGGTCACTTGCCTTCCCCTTCTAGGGCTAAGCTGCCTTGCTTTACTTTGCATATGACTAGTGAAGAACTTGCCCTTCAACAATTATCATGCAATGATTTGTGAGCATCAATATCTTTCAGAGTTTGCAAATGGCAGAGCCATTGTAGGCATAGGCATCATTTAAAATGGACCGTTGCCCTCTTACAGGAAGTGTTAATATAAGTAAATCTTATAATAAGTGATTTTTAAACTAGGTCAAAAAGCGGAGGAGCAAAAGTAGAGGTCAAAAACTGGAAAAAACAGGCTTGGTCAGGATCTTCAGCAAGTGAAAAACACTGTACATATTGCTGTGTGACAGGAGAGGTGCTTGTTACCTTCTGCTTTCTGCCTCACCCAATGGCACACGCACTTCCCAACTCACCTGATGTGTAGATGTGCTGCACAAATAGCTTAACTTATTGCATCAGTAAAGAACTCCAGGTCAAAAAAAAAAAAAAAACTCTGGGGTAAATGAAAGTATTAATTTGTCTGAATTTGACCACAGTTGCAGTACTGATATCACACGTTTTTCTGGAAAGCTGATCAAGGTCTAAACTTTCTACTATTTCTGTTACAGAATATTTGAGGCACTTTATATAGCATAGCAGCACTTCCACTTGATATGTTGGGGACTGCTACATAAAGGTCAATTATTTGTAGTGTTTCTTTTGCACTGAATGCCCTTTAAGACTGACATCCCTTCATGAGTGGGTCTGACGAGTAGCAGAGGCAGCACTGATCAGCACACAGAAAAGTAGATGTGAGGGGGCATCTGATCTCTCTAATATGGAGTAGGTGTGAGTGTAAGTGGGAAATAATGATTTGTTTTCTTGCTTTCCTTTTAGATAGAAGAACATAGGATTTGTGTCTGTGTGAGGAAGCGCCCTCTCAATAGGCAAGGTGAGTGTATTGACCAGGGAGTTCTGTTTGGAGGAGTCTGACATTGTTTGTTCTTGCTAAAACTGACAGTCTTTTTCTGTCAACAGAACTTCAAAAAAAGGAGTGTGATGTGGTTACTGTTCCGAGCAAGTGTGTCCTGATGGTGCATGAGCCAAAGCAGAAAGTAGACCTAACCAAATACCTTGACACCCAAACATTTAGATTTGACTTTTCATTTGATGAAACCTCTTCTAATGAAATGGTATACAGGTAATGCTTGCTGCTTATTGGCAACAGCTTTCAGACAAAAGCATGGAGCTATGGGTAGATAGCATTCTGGCTTAAAGAAACTGTTACCTGAAATAAGTATTGAAATCTTTTTTGGAGGAAGACAAAGGACTGAAAAGTCTAAAGCTTGTTTTTTGGCATGGCCTTGCTGATTTCCTAAGGATTTGCTTTTATTTAATTTTTTGGGTTTTTTTTAGAGAAACTGATGACAATGAAGCAGGGTGTGAAATGCTTGCATTAATTTTTTCTTTTTTACTTTCTGAATATCCAGATTCACTGCTAGACCTCTTGTAGAGACCATCTTTGAGGGTGGGAAAGCAACATGCTTTGCATATGGCCAGACAGGCAGTGGCAAGACACATGTAAGTTTTTCTCCAAGGTCTCAAATTTTCTAGCTTTAAAGTATTTTAAAGCTCCTTGATGTTGATCATGAGTAGGATTGTTATGAGGTGTTTGGATCTTGGTTTTATTGTCTTAAAGCTCATACTCTGTTAGATGTTAACTCTTTTTCTGTAGCTTTATATATTAGTAGGTTTCCTTTGAGGTTTTCAGGAAAATTGTACTAAAATCCCCCCATAGCTGGCTTTCCAAAGACTTCAGCAATTATATAAGGATAAGCCTCTTGATGCACATAAATACTTAATTTGTGAAGAGGGCAAGTTAGTGCATTTGCTTTCTAACGACTCCTTCCAGTCTTCCAATTGCAGTTTCAAGAGATGTGAAAGCTGTTTTCTGTCTCAAAGGTGACCTGCTCCAAACTTTCAACAGTTGTGTTGTCTTTAACATTCTTCTTCTGGGAACTGTGGGGAAGGATCCTCACAGTATGATAGTGGAGTCAAATCTGCTGTCCTGTTCTGCAAAAAGCCTTTACCTCAAACCACAGTTGGTCTTGACTGGACTAGGCTAACCTGCTGTCAGAGTAATCAGACAGTAGTTGCTGTTGTTCTGGTGTTAGAGCTAAGTTTTAGCCTAGGATCTCCTATTGTTAGTGTTATGTAGAGAGCTGTAGATCTCTTCCTGTAATCCAGAAGAAAATCTGAAAGCTTACAAAAGTTTCAACACAGGCTGTATTCATTGCACTGGAAAGGGCAGATAAACCTGTTCATCTGAGTATTGGTACAAGAATGCAACCGTGAGGCACTAAAATCATAGGTGATGAAGTTACTTTCCCTTCCCAGTCCTAGGGCAGAGCTAGTGCAAGGACAGCAGCTCTACCCTGAGACTGGAGTGTTGCACATTAAAGTGGCAGATTGAGCTGTGTTTTAAATAATGGACTCTGTCTCATCTAAAGGTTGGTAGAGCAGGTCACTAGAACAGCACTAACTGAAAATGTTGTTGGGATTAAAGGTACCTTGGTCAAAGGAGTTAAAGGTATTGTCTGCTCTAAATTTGCATTTTGATGTCATGTGTTAACTTTTGCAAGCAGCAGTGAAAATGTTACTCAACTTATGTCCTAAGAAATGAGGCTTTGTCTCTTCTGACCAGAGGCTGTTTGGTTGCAGTGTCAAGGCCATGCATTTTCCTTGGAGGAACAACTGCTTTAGCTCTGCAGCCAGGGCCTTACAGGCATTCAGCTGTTGCTTTGTGTAGTCCAGATCTTCTTTCTGAACTGATAGGGAAGCAGCAAATTAATTTTATCCCGAGTTGCGATGTGTTCTAATCACCTTGCTGACATTGGAGCATACCTATGGTAACTTCCTAGCCTGTTCTTGGGACTAAGATCAGGTAGGTTGATTTGTTGGTACCACGCCTGACCTCTGGCCTTTTCTCTTTGCAGACTATGGGTGGAGACTTCTCTGGGAAAATACAGAATGCCTCCAAGGGGATATATGCCTTTGCCTGTAAGTTGATTCTTCTGTAGATACAAAAATCAGATTACTGCTTGTTTTCCTTAAATAGATAAGACCTGGTTGTATGTGATTATTTAAAATGTGTCCAGTAGAAGATACATAAAGTATTTGTGTTTTCAGTAATAAGTGCTGGTGTTTGCAGGAGATATGGTTAATTTTTTAATTGGTTTCACAAAATATTTTCCCTCTGGCCTGTAAGATCCACACTTAACTTGTTTTTGAGGCAAGGAGATGACATGTTCTCTAGTTTGGCATTAATTTTGATTCTTCTGCTTTGCTTTTGTCTCAGACTAAGGATGGTGTTTGGAAAAAAGCTGACTCGAATGCAACGCAACTCCATCCATTTCTGATACAAAACCTGTTACACAAAAGAATGTATATGTTGGGTTTCTTCCTGTAAGCATTAGATGCAAAAAACCCTAGCATGTACAAAATGATTTCAGAAAACATGCTTAGAAGCCCCTCCTTGATGTAATGCCTAGAAAGCACCAAAACCGCTGACCTCTACCTTCCCTTTAGAAAGGCACGCTGTGAAAACAATCTTTGCAGCAAGGCAGCTGAAGCAGAAGCAACTGTTGCCTGATCTCTGAGAAATAGTTATGACTGGCCCTGAAGGAGTCTTTGCTTTTCAGCTGGGTTTCAGAGTCTGAGGCCTCATTGTGAAAAGTTACACTGGATCCAGCCGCAGGCACAGCTAATCTGGTACATTGTCTCTAAACCTCAGCAAAGCAGATGTTCTGGGATGTGTGTTTTCTAGGCTTTCTGCAAGGAGCACTTGAAACACAAACACATGGCTCTTTCAGGCCTGTCCAAAACAATAGCAGATCCCAGTGTTCCCCCAGAGCAGTAAGGATTGCTGTAAATAAGTGACATTAGCAGCAGAAACTTCTGTATTCCCCTGTTTTCAGTCTCTGGATAAGGATGTTGCTGAATCTGTTCTCCAGATGGTAGCTCAGCACTGATTTTTTTCACAAGCATTTGTTTGGATGACTGTCGTTCAGCTGCTAGACACTGCCTTATGGCTGTGCAATATTTGAAAGTAGATCAAATAGCAACTAGAGTGTGTTTTAAACCAGTTAACTTCTGCCTTTCTTCACTAGCGCAAGATGTCTTCCTCCTCCTAAGCCAGCCCAGGTACAGGAGTCAGAATCTGGAAGTCTATGTGACTTTTTTTGAAATATACAATGGAAAGGTAAGACTGCTTTATTTTTAAATCTTGACCTGATTTCTTTGGTTGAGTATTTCATAAGTAGCTGAGCCAAAGTTACTACTTGATATAGTTCTATGTATTCTATTGATCTTAGTGTGTGTGGAATTGAACTGGAAGGCCGTGATAAAGGTGCTGTTTCTGTATAGCTTTGTATAAAGACACTGCAAAATACTTACAAGGAGACCTTGTTCAGATTTGCCTCAGTCTTGTTGCCTGAAATACAGGTGTTTGACCTCTTGAATAAGAAGGCCAAGCTTCGAGTCCTGGAGGATGGCAAGCAGCAGGTCCAGGTTGTGGGTCTCCAAGAAAGACAAGTTGGCTCTGCTGAGGATGTCATCAGAATGATCACGATCGGCAGTGCCTGCAGGTTGGGTGCCTTGAAACCACTGAGAGTGGTCATGTCCTGTTGTATCTCCACATCTAGAAAAAATATACGATGTCTGGTGCTGGTTGCTTCGAGACTTTAACAGGAGCTTGTTTTTCCCAGTAACAGGCACCTCTGTATGAATTCCAGAAGGTGGTTACTCAGTAATGGGGTGGGTTCAGCATGGCTGCCATAGAGGAAAGTCAGAGCTCATCATTCATAGGTCCTCATGTAACTCCAATGAGAGAAACTATTCACATGAGGACATGGCTGCCTTTCTGCTTTCTAGAAGTATCAGCTACTTTACAGGAATACAATTAGCTCCCCAAGGGCTTGTCAGATCAAGGAACAGCAGCTGGCATCAACCACAGTTGCAAAAATGCTTTGGCTTAACTGCAGACCAGATGAGCTTATTCCAGTGACAACAAAAATGCTGCATGTCATTCAGGGATCTTGTCTAAAGAATCCTTGAGAGCAGGTGCCAAGGGACAGCTGTAGGCTTGGCACATCATCCTGGCAGGAAAGGCCATGGTTGGGGCAACTCTGCCTTCATAGTGGTGGTTTTTAATTGGGAGCTAAAACCTGTATTACCAAGCCTTACCTGTTTCAGTTAAGTTGCAACGGCTGTGGAAACATTACTAGGCAAATGAGAACTCCTTGGCTTCTTTACTGCCCTGCATGTGCAGATATGCACATCCTGAAAGCTCATTCAGCACTCTGCTGTGCATCCTGTTTCAGCTGGCAATTCAGTCATGAACTCTTTTTCAGCCTTGCTTTAGGATGACCTCCCCTCCCTTTTCCCCCCTCAGTAGGGATCCAGGTGGGACAGTGAACCTGCCAGCACTCTCAGGCAATAAATTACAGTGAAGGTCACAGGCAGGTTTAATTTAAAAGATGCCAGTCTGTGCCTTGCCGTGATGGGACAGGTGCAGCTGCACAGCAGAGGCGAAGTGCCAAGCCGGCTTGGCTGGAGAAAGGGATTTACCACAATTGTAATGCGCTAGAACAGCTAATGCTGTTTAGTGGGGAGCTTGGCTGAGCTTACTGTATAATGGCAGATGCATTAGGAAAATGACTTGTGGCTGTGCTGAAGGTGTGACTTCCAGCTCCAAGTGCCTGTGAGGCATTAGCATCAGAAAGGCATTCCAGTGTAGGCTGGCTGAACTGAGCCAAGCAGCTTAAATAGCCTTACATCTCTATAACCAGGGTGCAGGTTCATATTTTTCACAGCAGTCCTGTGCTCTTATATCGGAAATAATTCCATAATTCACACCAACTTGAAATATTAACATGTGGGATAAAACCTGGGAGGTTAAACAACTTAATTGAATGACTGCAGGTCTTGTCTAGTGCTGTCAGGACCTGTTGTCTCCTGTGACACAGTTCTAATGCTCGTTTGCCCCTTTGCTGTAGGACGTCTGGGCAGACTTTTGCAAATGCGAGCTCTTCACGGTCACACGCCTGCTTCCAAATCATCCTGCGCCAAAGAGGACAACTGATTGGCAAGTTTTCTCTGGTGGATCTGGCAGGAAACGAGAGGGGTGCAGACACGTCTAGTGCTGATCGGCAGACACGAATGGAAGGTGCAGAAATCAATAAGAGCTTGCTGGCTTTGAAGGTGAGCTAATAGCTCAGGGAGCAAAGAGTGATAGTCCACATATGGATTCTGTTCAGCTCTGGGGTTATCTGCACAGGGGAAAAGAACAGCCAAGAAAATACTCATTTAGTATGTGAGCAACCCTGAAAATGGGGTATACTTTCATTTAGAGTATTTCCAGGAAAGCAGACACTTGTCAGACCAGACACTGGTACAGCTTCATTCAAGTTGTCTTTTTTTTTTTTAATATATGATGAATATACCTGCTGTCCTGTGACAGTCAAATACCTGGTATATATTTTAAAGGCTATGAAGGACTTACAGAGCAATAGATGTGACCATTGTTCAGCCTGTTGGGTTTACCAGCAGCTGGTGGTTGATAGCCTGCAGAGCTGTTCGAGACGCCGATACTGCATTCACAAGACTTATCTTTTCTTAGGAGTGTATCCGAGCTTTAGGGCAGAACAAATCTCACACCCCTTTTCGGGAGAGCAAGCTGACCCAGGTGCTAAGAGACTCTTTCATAGGAACAAACTCAAGGACCTGTATGGTGAGTACGCATGTCAAAGACACTGCTTATGGGTTCTGCAGTTCCACCAAATACCTGCACCCTCTTCTAGAATGAGGGGATTTGGAAGTCAGAAAGCTTCAGATCTCTCAAGAAAAAAAAAAAAGGAAAAAAAGAAGTCATACAGTTTCTTCATGGAAACTTGCCCATGGTGACTGAGATAATAAATTGGTGAGCTATGCCCAGTTCCCATAGAAGCAGAGCTGCAGAAGACACTTTCATACAGTGAATCTGTAGGAGAGCCTGGTGTGCTCTCAAAGGGCTTTGGTTCCTGTGGAGGAAGAAGCACAGTGGGTGTACACAAAGCAAGTGGAAAACTGGATACAGGGTTGCTGGCATGTCCCACAGAAACTAAACTAAAATGGACTTGACAGACTGTCTCAGCTCTGACCCTTTGTCCTAAAATATCCCAGCTGTGTGGTGAGATCTGTAGAACCATTAACACAAACAAAATTCAGATGGGAGAGTCACTGAGGTTTCTGTTCCGTTTGCAGATAGCAATGATTTCTCCAGGCATGAATTCGTGTGAGTACACCTTAAACACACTGAGATACGCTGACAGGTAATGGCCTTTCAGACCTGGGGATCCTAATCTTGGCTGCTTTTACTCTGACCTTTGGAATCTCAAGTGCTTTTGTATTGTTTGTAGTGGCAACCTGGAGGTTGGTTGTTGGGCACAAATTATCTTAGAGCTGTCATATGAAACCAACCTGGGTGTTTTCTGTGTGAGACCCAATAGAGATGGTGTAAAACCATGAGTAATGCCTCCTTTCCTCAGAGGAGTCTCCTCTCATGGTAGACTTTGGGCTACCCTGGTTCTTGTAGGGAGTTTACCCTGTCCTGAATGGTTACCTACATGCCCTTTTGTAGTACTTTGAGTCCTGTCTGTAAGGGTGTGCTAAGAATGTGTGTCACAAATGAGTGAATCACTGGGAAGAATCACTGGCAAAGGTATCACAAAAGCAGGTTTAAAAATAAAGGGAATGTACAACAGTTTGTTGGCAAGGCTCACTCTACTACTTACTAAGCAGTTAAAGCACACAGAGAAGAATCAGACTAAAATTAACCTAAAATGATCTACATGGAGGCTAGGGAATGGAAAAAGGGGTAAGGATGGGGAAAGGGTAAGGATAAAAAGGAATAAAGAAGACCCTCCTACTGAGTCACAAGGTTCAGAGGGGACCCCCTTGCCAAACTTAGCCCTGGACTTAAACAATGGTTTAGGCCTTAAGGTTTTAACCACACTTAATCCATAGCCTAATTGAAACAATTTAACAAAAGATTCTATAGAATTTAGTATAAGCACAACAGTAACTCACTTACAGGCCTAACTTACTTATGAATCTAGCATATTTAAGAATCTAAGAGAGCAACCTTCGTAGTATATTTGCTATAGCACATGCACAATGGCACACACCTGAGGGACTGCATACAAGGGGTATGTGCCAGCTACTGTGAAGGGGCTTCAGTCCAAGCTCAAGTGATGTGTGACTGCCAGAGTGGATGGTCAGACAGGAAAGTTTTTCCTTAATGCATTTGTCTCTTGGCTTTCCTTCCCATAGTCTTTGGGGTTTTGCCCACATGAGCTTGTTCAGGGGTGGTAATGTGCAATGTTTTAAGTGCAGCTGAATGTCTCTTGCTGAGCACTGACAGACTGGAGTGGCTGCTTTGTGATGCTGTAGCTGAGAGAGTGCTGGAAGAAACGCTTGACAAATCCTTTTGTTGCAGAGTGAAAGAGCTCAGCCCTCATGATGGAGGTAGTGACATGCAGAATCAGATGGAGACTGAGGAAATGGAAACCGGTGGAGAAGGCTTGGGTCTTCAGTACAGTGTACGTGTGTGCAGTGGGCTGAACAGAACTCAAAGCTGAGAACAACTTGCTGTTCTTACTTGGGCTGTTTCTTGCAGCTCTCCAAGGATGAGGAGGAAGATCTCTCTCCCCACATGTTCAAGTATCGTGAGGCTATGACTCAAGTGAGGGAACGGGAGGAGAAGGCTGTAGAACAGCTTAGAGAACTGAGACAGGTATGTGGAAGTGGAAAGCCCAGCCCAGGCTGCCTTTTACATGTTGATAGCAGCTTGCCTTGTCTGAGCCAAGTGCTGCTGGGGAGGCTCTAGGCTGTAATGCAAGATCTGTACAGTGGTGTTATTTCTTCCTCACTGCCAACTTTTTCCTGTGGTTTCCTGCCCAACTGGTTAAACTGGGGTGTTTCAATGCTTTTTGGCCTGCTGGATCTTCCTTCTCTCCAAGTAGCAACTTCTACTTGCTGCTAATGAGCACTGACTGCTCCTGATCTGCAGAAGCTCAGCTCTGTTGGCTGGAGTGTCAGATGTGAAGTAACTAATTGAATTTCCAGAAAGTCAACTTCTCATCACTGTTATCCTTGTAAATACAGAGAATGACGACAATGATGACTGAGGTTGACTACCTCCTGGGAATCACAGAGAAACCAGACTATGATCTCGAGACCTTTGTGAGCAGAGCAAAGTACTTCGTAAAGGACAGCTCAAGAAGTTTCCTCAGTGTCAAAGGTATGTTAGTGCCTGTCTCTGACTAGCACTGTTACTAATGCTTTTCCAAAGACCCGAAAGTAACCCCAGCATACCTGTTGGGGTTTGAGCAACCAGTCCTTCTGCATAGCTCTCAGCTCTGCTGGGAGGGACAGCTGGGCTGGGGAACTCAGCTTCCAGGTCAGTCACCCTGTCACTCCTATCTTCCTTCACAGAAACACTGGATGCCTTGGGGGCTGCCATGCAACTGGAGGAGCAAGCCAGCAAGCAGATAAGAAGGCAGAGGCCTTAGTCATTACAGCAAAACCTGGTTCACAAGCAATCTTTCATGCACTTGTCTTGTCTTGCATGTCTGTCAGTGGTTTGTGTCAGTCCTGTTTTAAATGTTGGTAGAGTGTCTGCAGGTCACGTGTGCCCAAGCACAGTGAACACAGCAGCCTTTTTCTCCATGGCCTGTATCAGGGGACTCAGCAGGGTGCTAAAGTGCACTCACTGCAAGGTTTGGGGAGCAGGTCTGAGGGTCTTCAGTCTCTGCCTGAGAGATGTCTGATATCTGGCTCTTTGCTAGTGACAATGGTCTCCCCTAATAGAACTAAATACAGATGTACAGTACATGACCTTTCCAGATGTGCTTGAAACACTGCAAAACTGTTAAAAGTTTTGCTTTTCTAGAAAGAAAATGGACTATGTGATTGTAAAACTCAGTATTTTAAGAAGTTGAATAAATAAATGTTCTTGGATTTAATTATCTTCTGTCCTATAAGATATACTTCTTGCTGATTTTGATAAAGTCTAACAGCCCTAAAGACTGGCTGGTTGTATAGAGAGGCTGATTTCTTGGATGAAGTTTCTTTTCAAAGTCTTTATACTTGTAATGTTTACATAAAAATCACTCAAAATAAGTTTTGCCTCTTAATTTTGAGATCTTGCTGGGTAGAACTTGCCTAACATGGGGGAAGCTGATTTAGAGGGTACCTATCCTCCTATATAGTGAGTGGCTCAGCTCTTATATCAGATAAGTAGGAAGGGCCCTGTGAAATTCCTTTGCACCAGTGGAGCTTATGTAGGTTTTTAAGATAGCCACAGGATCTTTACTTTTTTCATATGGTTCCCATTTTATGCCACACAAAATACACAAAGATGTTCAGTAAACCCCCCCAAATCTGCTTTTGAGGGCAGAAATGCAAAGCTGGGCCCTGGCTCAGGTGCAGCAATGTGCTGTGCCGTGGCCCATGTGTGCAGTCTGGGTCTGGGTGGGTGTACACACCCTGTCCTCTGGGAGGGAGTGGGTTAGGGAAGGGTAGTTGTGAGACATGTGCTGCTGCCTGCTCTTTCCTATTTGTTCAGCTCAGTTCAGGGGTTGTCTTGGAAAGAACAAAACAGGCCTGTAGGCTCTAGATTCAGCAACACTAGATGCAGCTATGCAAGCATCAGATCACAAAGGGATTCCCTGTTTTTGAGCTGTCTTCTCCCTCTGAAAGTTAAGGGTGGAATTTCAGTGACAGTGCATCCAGCTCTGCACCCACCTGCTGTGGACTGCATCCTTGCCATGTCTCTGGGGATGCTGACTCTGGAGGAGGCCAGTTATTCAGTCTGGACTGGATCACTTTTGTGTGCCAGGTTTCAGGATGGGCCAGGAAAAGACAGCAAAAGAACTTTGTTGGGATGTGGGCAAGCAGTAGTCCACAAGCAGCTAAAGAAGGCGGATCCTTCAACCCAGACAGGATCCTGCTCCACAGCTGGGGCACTTTGTGATCAGCAGTTTAGGTGCTGGGGGCAGTTTGGGGCTGAGCACTCAGAGGGTTTCTGAACAGTCAAAGCTGACTTGGGTCTGGGCTCTGCCTACATCATACTAATACGGCACATCACAGTAAAAGGGCTGCTAAGCCCTACTGAGTCTGGACAAAAGCAAGACAGTCCTGTTCTACTTCAAGTGTTACCGCTTTTGGATTACCCAGCCTTTCCCCATTATGCCTGGGTGCAAGAAACAAAGTATTGCCCCATGTTTGTTCTACCTCCCCTCCCTGCACTTAATATACTAATCTGTATATCTAGCAGAGGAGCCAGAGATCTGATTTCTAGGCCATCAGCCCCCTACCCTGGAGGGGGGAAAAAGCACACAACAAATAGAGTCTGGGCCTCTTGGTGCAGCCCTAATTGAAAATGCTGTGTCCAGCCCTAGTGGCACCAAACAGAGGGGAAGGAGAGTCCTAAAATAAACAAGAAAGGTTTGGCTGTGCGTGGATTAGCAATCAGTGCTGAGAGCCAATTGCTTAATGATTGGTGGGAGCTTCCTTGTGTTTATTAAAATCTGGCAAGTTTCTTGTGTGACCAAAAAGAACCCAGGACTCAAACACCACCACTGTTACTTCTGATAGACTGGAAGACCCTCCACATCTGCCTCCCTACCCAAGGGTTTTCTGTCATCTGCTTTTGCAGGAAAAGTGTTCTGACAGCACTATCTTGTGGACACCGCAGGAAATTCATGCTTAATGAACTGATTTTAGCATAAATGGCTGAATTTCCTTAAGGATTCTGCAGTCAGTCCTGGGCACTAGATTTTCTAATGGGTGACTGATGTTAAAAAAGGGAGTGTTTCACTGCTTGCTGTGGCTCCCAGCTATGTGGAGAATACAGTGGCCATGAGCAACGCAGCACCATTCAGCCCTGGATGGGGACATAGATTGCTTCCAGGCCCAGCGGTAGGAGGTGACAGCATGCAAGGCCAAGAGCAGACTTCACATCTCCCTGTAAATGAGACTTCAAGCCAGCTCCAGTGTCAATAGCTGGGAGCATCTGAGCATTGCTACCTGCAGGTAGCTGCCTCGTTCCTGAACACCCACCTCTGAACAGCTTAGGGCTGGACAGCTGGCATGACTGGGGTACTCAGCCAGGCAGTGGAGCGAGCGGTGAATGGGATGAAACCTTCACTGTGAGGAACATGTCCCAGACCATTCCTACCCAAAAGAAGCCACATCTCTAAGGTCCCTGTCATGGTCCTGTAGATTTTGCTCCACCAATGATTTTGCTCTCACCCAATGACTTTTGTGGCAGCCAGGGTGAGCCCTGCAGAAGATGAGGGACCCTGAGAGAAACACCCCCCTGGTCGCCCTGGCAGCTCACAGCCAGCTATGTACTCGGGGACCGTGGTGAGCTCTTGTACCTTCGGCAGTCTCGGTGCAGCAGATAAACACTTTTCTCCTGGGGGGTGGTCAACAGCGAACCAGGACACTACCATCGCAAATGCAATGGTCCTACACTACTAATGTTAGTCAGTAGCCACTTATTTTTCTATTTTTCACCAAAGTAGGGATAGCTCCACCGAAATGGAGCCTCAAAAAATTATTCGACACTCGTGCTTGTTCCTCTCCACGGAAATCTTTAGTAAAAGGCGAAAGATTTATACGATCTGAAGAGAAACCAGAGTATGCCCCTCCCTCTCTCCCCGACCCTGCCCCCGCCTGCCCCACGCCCCAAACCTCAGGGTGACCCGGGCGCGCCCGGCGCTCCCGGCCCCGCGGCCCGGCCCGGCCCGGCCCCTCGGGCTGCACCCACCGGGGAGCCCCCACAGCCCGGGCGGGGCAGCGGCCGCAGCACCGGACACCGGCGGGGCCGCGGGGCTCGCTGGGTATGCAAATCACCGGTGACGGGGCGGTGCTAATGAGGAGGAGAGGAGGAAGAGGAGGCGGTGCGGGCAGAAAGGTGCGGGTGAAATGGTTTGGCACCAGCCCCAGCCTTGGAGCGGATCCCTTCTTCCCACGGTACGAATCACAAAGGACCATTTACTCCGCGGCTCCGCACTGCAACTTTGTAGCTCGATAGATGCTCTCACCGCTCTTGAGTAAGCCCTGCCATCGCTCTTTTTTTTAACAGAAGAAGGATAGCTCCAGCAAAATGGAGCCTCTAAAAATTTATTAGCACTCGTACTTGTTCCTCTCCACGGAAATCTTTAGTAAAAGGCGAAAGATTTATACGATCTGAAGAGAAACCAGAGTATACACGCCATCTTTTCCGCACAAGTATCCATTCCCTGATGCTGCCTCAGAGGACACGGTGATCCTCCATAGCCTCCCATGCCGCCTCCCCCGGCTCGGCCCCAGCTCCCCGCCTGTTCCACACCCCCGCCGGCCCAAGCCCCGGCCGTGCCGGTCGGAGGGGCGGCTGTCAGTGGGGCCGGCCCGGCGCTGCTCACACTGCACCCCGGGTACGCTGATCGCACCGTGCTGAGGGGTACCTGCCCTGCTGCTGGGGCGGGGCGGGCCCGGCGGGGACAGCGGGCGGAGCTAACCCCGGATGCTGGAGGAGTCGGGCTCTGACGGCACGGTTTCCTCGGCGGGGCGGCGCAGAGGAGTAAAGCCGGCTCCGAGAGAGGCTGCCGTGTGCCTCTGCCACGGACCGGAGCTCGGAGGGAGGGAGGTCACGGTAGGCTGGGCAGTAACGACTGGGCTGCTCCAGGACCCTCCCGGGCCGCGCCAACAGCGCCAGAGCGGCGGCCCGGGCGGGGCTGCAGCGCCCGGGACAGCGGGGCAGGTTCCTGGCTGGCCGCTTCTCCCGGAGCTCATGTCCCGATCGGACAGGGGTGATGAGGGGGCCGCCCCGGTAGGGAGAGAGCGCTGCGGAAGGACCGAGTACCGGGGATCAGCGGTACCGGCAACCGAGCCCGGCCCAGACTGACCGTGGGCACCGGTCCGGAACCGACCACGCAGCAGAAATAGCTCTATTCCCTGGGAAGAACTTCGACGCTACAAAGCATGCTCAGATCTCTCACAGCTTTCCCTACCGTTATCTTTTCTATTTTTAACCAGAACAAGGATAGCTCCACCGAAATGGAGCCTCAAAAAATTCAATAGCACTCGTACTTGTTCCTCTCCACGGAAATCTTTAGTAAAAGGCGAAAGATTTATACGATCTGAAGAGAAACCAGAGTATACCGATACCTTTCCTTTGCACATAGCTACTCCCAGCTTTTCCTCTAAGAGTCATGGCGATCTGTTATGATGCTCAGTTCCACCCTCCTCTTCCCCGGCCCGTCCCCCCAGCAGTGTGACCGACCCGACCCCACACCGGGCCCAACGACCCCGGAGAGCGGCGGCTCCGAAAGGCGGTACCGGGGCTGCGGTGCCGGGCGCGGTGCACCCTGGGTATGCAAATGAGACAATACTAATGAGGCGACGCGGCCCGGCGGGAGCGGCGTTTGGAGATGCATGGCCGAGACCTCCTGAGCTCGCCCTTCGCCTTTGCCACACTTGCCCAGGCCAGCCACGGCCTGCCCCAGAGCGCCCAGGGTGGGTACACAGATCCCACCTTCCTACTGGACCTCCAGGTGCACAGAGCGCAGCACGCCCAGCACGGGCTCCTCGAGGGCACAGGGCACCTCTCTCACCATATGCTGGGTGGAAAGGGCAGAGTGACAGGGACAGCCCTCACACAGTTCTCCAGGTCGTTCCCTTCCAGGCACCAGGGCTCTTCAGTGCAGCCTCAGTGCCAGGCTTGGCACAGATGCAAACACTTCCCATTCCCCCCACTCCACCAACGCTCAGTACCCACCTGCACGACCCTGAGCATCGGCAGAGCCCATGCTGGGCCTGTGGAGGTACACAGCAGCACAGCTACAAGGTGGACTTGGCTCTGGTACTTGGGATTGCCACAGCCTGAAGAGTCCATCAGAGTCTGCGTGTCTTCTTGACCCTCTGCTTTGTTGGAAGAGGCCAAGAACTTGGCGAGGTCTGGTACCCCTATGCAGAGAAAGACATGCCAGCTCATGTGCCTGGAGGAGAATGGGTCACCCATCTCAGCTGTTTCACTGCCACCCCAAGAGAAACCACTATCACATCCCACTTGGAGTGTGGTTCAAAGACCCAGGAAAAAGAATTCTCTGCCCTTGTCAGGAGCCACACCATCAACTGGAAAACCAGCTGGAAAAGTTCTCAGCTGGTTTAGGTGGCCAAGGAAGGCCCTTCTGCAGATGTTTACAGAAGCAGAGTCTGGCACTGGAATGCCAAACAGAGCTCCTAAGGATTCTGCTGCTGATCCCGTTGCTTTATCTCTCTAGGAGGAAGCTGTGACAGTATGCATCACCCCATGGCCTCTGACAACGTCCTCCAAATACAGAACTAACAGGGTTTGGCTTCCACTGCCCGGGAAAAAAAAAAAAAAAACCAGGAAAAAAAATGTTGTGATGCTCTTTCAAAGATATGAGCTGCAAGGCCCTCCCACCCCAGAGGGGGACTCTGGGAAAGTTTGTAGAAGGTGAGTGCTGCAGGTAAGAATAGAAACTGTTTTGTGGTTTTAACTGGAAGAATTGCAGCCAGCAGGGCAGCAATATTGTGCCAATATGACTGTGAAGAAAGTGAACTCATTAAAAAATGAGAGGGGATGAAATGCAGGCACTCAACAATAGCTGAGACTCTGAGCTCCTTCCAGCCAGACCAGGGCTGCAGTGATCTGCCATCTGCAGCTGGAGGGGAGGGAGTGGCTCAGCACAGCAAGGAATCCCGGGTTCCAGAGGTCAGGGAGAACATCCTTGCCTGAATTAGGACAATTCCTAAACAGATGGACACTGCCTACTGTAGCTTTTGCAAATGAGCTCCTTATACTCCCTACCAGTGTCTGCAGCGAGCAGCAGCAGCTTTACAGACTCCCTTTTGTCCTCTACTTTCAGGTGGTTCAGCCCCACTATTTCCAGGGGAATCGAGACACCTCCGATCTCCAGAAATTCAGTCAGGTATCTGTGGCTTCCAGGATAGGGGGAACAAAGCCAGAAGTCTTTCCTGCCTTGGAGCCCATCTTCCTCTGCCAGCAGGCCGTGCTCCCGTGAGCCATCACCCCACTGCAGCGGGTGAAGGTCTGAACTGGGTACTGTCTCTGCAAGAGGGCATGGGCCTTCCTCTCACAGGCAGGCAGAGGCAGCACGCTCATCCCAGTGCAAGAAAAACACTAATTCTAGTTTCCTCAGAGACAGGTTACATGGTTTTCCCTTCAGTTTCATCCTTAGATAACCAGGTTGTTTTTCAGTCCTGCAGAACATTGCTTATTCTTTAAACTAATTTTTGGTAGAGAACTTGCCTCTCTTCTCTGTCTCACTATCACACAGCCCCTCCAGCTGTCCAAGGAAACAGATGTGCCATCCTGAGCCATGCTGTCAGGTGAGCCAGGAACAAACTGGTGAGCTCCAGCTCTGGTTCTGCCTTGCTTTTTATGAAGCTGTCCAGGATGCAGCTTCGAGGAACTTTGTGGGCACTATCCCATTCATGCAAGAAAACCATGAGCTTCCTGATGGCTTCCTGCTTTTTGATAGAAGTCAGGATCTCTCCTTCCTAGAGAAAAATGAGAAAGAAGTTTTAAAAGGGCAGTGAAGATAGAGAAAGACCATACTAAGGAATTACTACCAGAATCACATTTAAAATCTCTGGCAAATAATACTAAAGCACTTACTAATTATTAATTTAGTCCCATTTTCCCTTATACTCATTTCATAGATAGGAAAACTGAGGCAAAAGGGGAGTTCCTGGTACGTCTGAAGCTGCACCATGAATCTGTGACAGACTTGAGATTATTTTCCAGGGCAGGTGGTTTCACTACAGGACCTCTCTTCTCTGTTCTGTTAATAGAGTCGTTTTGATGTTTCCCATTACCCCAGCCCTGGTCTCTCGCTAGCCTCATGATATGAACACTGCATCTCATATCTGACCTGCCAGGGAATAAATAGGGTGAAATGAGAGCAGAAATAGGTATGGATTTATGGGGAGTGACAGGGTCAAGGGGGCTATAAATGCCTGTTAGCAAAGCAGCGCAGCCCTCACTCACGTGCTGGAGCAACAGTCTTCTGGCCCACATCCACCCTAGGAATATATGCCTGGCCTTGGCAGTGGAAGAGTGCTTTGCCACCCTTTGGCATTACAGACATTTGCTTTGGTTTTTTCCTATCTAATTTCCCAGGCATTGTTTTTAAACAATCTAAGAAAAGCTGAAATGATAAGACCTACAGGCAAGAAGGCAGAAGCTCCAGGAACATCCTGTGTCTGCACTTCCTTCCATCCCTTCGCACAGGGGTTAAATAAAGCAACCCACATTTTGCCAAATCTCTTTGGCAAACTTTTAACCCTGCAGCTTGACAAATGTGAAGGTGCACTTAGGGAGGTGAAGTATCAGGGATCAAGCTCTCCATTTGCTCAGGTAGGGGGCAGTCCCACTGCTGTGTATGTGTTTGGCTGGAGGACACTGACCAGTCCCAAGGAGTTAAACACCAGGTTCTGTGTCCATACATAGATACAGAAAGAGGGATAAGGTTGCAAACAGCTGCATTGACACAGTGCCTTGTCCTCCACCAAGCTCCATCAACATGCCTAAGGATAAGAAAGGAGTTCTCACCTTGTCTAATGCACTTCTTGTGCTTCCTACCTAAGAGAAGCACCATTTTAGGTTTTATTTAAGTGTGGTTTTCAAAACAAGAAGTTTCTTTCAATGTAATTCAAATCACCAAGACTACCAGTTCCCTACCTAGAAAATTCTTAAGTCTCTTCTCCTAGAATCTGGAACAAAATTCCAAAGCAGTTCCAGAATATCCCCAAGATACTTGCTCAAAAGTAACTTTTTATTCCTTTTATCTGAGCCAGACGGAAAACAATGACTAAGAGGTGAACAAGTATCTCAGAGCCTGAAAAGAAACAAACAAAGTCTTTAAAAAGCTGTCTGAGGAACAATGTTTGAGAATTAGGATGAGATGAAGTTTCATTTGGGAATTAACGGTCTGTGCTCTGTAAGGAGTCTGTGTCCTTGGCAGGGCGTTTTCAGGATCTCCTTTGCGGGGAAGCAGGTTTAAAATAAATCCATTTTTCCCAAAATAGTTGTGATTGAAAATGTTATTAGCCATAACAAATGTTAGTGCTGACAGGAGAATGGCCTGTTAGGGGCCTCTGCTGAAACAGTCAAGTGAAAGTCATATTTCACATTATTGCAAGCATTTTCCTGTGATTTACAGAATATTTGTGAAACATTACTTACAAGGCATATGATTGATATTGAGAGAACAGCTCGTGTGTAGGGGGAATGTGTATTTCACAGAGACTGTTTGCATGAAATTTACAGTCCCATAAAGTGCTCCTCTGTCCTCAACAGAGATCTAGTTAAAAGAACTTTACAGTCTGAAACATCCCAAGATTGATTCTAAATTAACGTTTCCGTATTTATGTTTAGGATGCTGGTGGTGTAGTGCTGTCCCATTTTTTATTATAAAGTTGCAGTAACCCTCCCACTCTTCAGAAACGCCAGCACCAGCCTCTGAACGTGAGGATTTTATTGATACAAAGGGCTTGCCTATGGATCAATGGAAAAAAAAAAAGAGGAGTTTGAAACAGTGATGACATGGGGCTTCAGAGGATACAGTGGTTACCCTGGCTGCTACAATCACAGCATCTGCTGACACAGTAGTCTTTAAGCCAGCATTGCAAAGTACCCTGAAAATGTGCATTAATATTGTTATTATGATCGTTTTACATATGGGAACGTACAGACACAGGGAAGTGAAATGGCTTGCCTGAGTCGTTTGTCAGTGCTAGCATCAGCACGTAGCTCCTGTTTGTTGCCTTCAAACTCTGCTCTCCACAGTGCTGGGCTGCCACCCCAGTCCACTGGACCTAATAATCAAAACAAGGCTGGGTCAGGGCAGGGCTTTATTCCTGCCAAGAAAAACACCAGTGATTTAGGAACTGGCCCTGGCACTTCAGCAGTTCTTTACATCCAGAGTGCTGCTAAATCATCAGTTTGAGATCAAAAGGCAGGCTGGTGCTGCGTCAGCCTCAGTCCGAGTGCGAGGTGCCAGCGACCGATCGCCTTGGACTCGTGGAAAGACAGGAGTGGCAGTGATTTGGTGTTGCAACATCGAGGTTGTGACCAGCCTCAAGCAGAACTTAGAGCTTCTGCTCCCTGGCAGGTTTCACCCTCAGCTTAAGTCCCCCATCACCCTCCTCACGCACAATGCACCTTCCTCGGTGTACCCCAGTGTGCCCAGCCCCTACCACCCCACTGTCCACCCTGCCCTCCAGCCCCGCTGCTAATGCAGCCACAGCCCCAAACGCAGCCCTGCACGGCCTCACCCTGCTACCCCCACCCTGCTTCCATCCCCCCAACCCTGCCCCGCCTGCCCCACTGCAGCCCCAGCGTTCCCTGCCCCAGCCCACCATCCCACAGGCCCGATCCAGCCCAACCGCAGGCCCTGCGCTCCCAAACCCCAAACCGTGCCCTATAGTCCCTCACACGCTCCCTGACGCCCATGCCCAGCCCCTGCGTCGCCCCTCCTGACCCCACACTCCCTTCCCAGCCGCTCTGAGTGCGATCCCCGCTCCAGGCCCCACCTCTCCCCCCATCCCGGCCCCGCAGCCCTCACCGGCCCCACCCCGGGGGGGCGGTTACCCGCGCAGTAACTGACACGCGGCCGCGCCAATCGCCCGCCGCCTTTCCCTCCGGCGGCCCAATGGGCGCTCAGTGGGCGGGGCGCCGGGCCCGGCGCTAAGGGCGCGTTGCTAAGGAAGGGGTGTTGGGTCGGGGGCGTGGCCAGGCGGGAGGTGGGGCGGGCGCTTGGCCTCGCCATTGGCTGCGGGGCGGGGCGGGCGGAAGCGGCGGCGGAGGCGGCCATGGGCGCCCGGCGGCTGGAGGCGGCCGTGGTGGAGCTGCAGCCGGCACCGGCACCGGCACCGGCACCGGCACCGGCACCGGCACCGGCACAGGACCGCGGTGCGGGGCGGGCGGCACCGGCACCGGCACAGGACCGCGGTGCGGGGCGGGCGGCACCGGCACCGGCACAGGACCGCGGTGCGGGGCGGGCGGGACACCGGGGACGGCAGGGACTGACTAGGGGAGCCCTGGGGGAAGTGGGCTGGGGGACCCCTGAGGAGGGTGCCGTAGCAGGTGGGTGGCGGTGAGGGCAGGGCAGGGCAGATCAGGACGCTCCGCTTTCCCCCTTGGAACAGCGGGGCGCAGCAGCCGGTGGTGCCCCCGGGAGGAGGGATGAGCTCGGCCTGGCTGCAGAGCGGTGTGAGCTGCGGGGGCTGACGCGGCGATGACCGGCGGAGCGGGGCCCTGAGGGGACACCGGGCTGAGGCCGCGCTCACAGATCGAGCTGATTCCTGCTCCGCCGCTGCACTGAAACTCTGCTGACCGGCCGGTCTGTGGTCTGTTTCAGGGAGCAGCGCAGAGAGAGGGCACGCAGAGCGCCAGCCTGTGGTGATCCTGCTGGGCTGGGCGGGCTGCCAGGACAAATACCTGGCCAAGTACAGCGCAATCTACAGCCAGAAAGTGAGTAGCTTGTCCGTGTTTTCATGGCACTGCCTCTTTTCTGCGTGTCGGTGAAGTCGCTCTGAAGCCTCTCTCGATCTGCAGAGTCATGGGGAGGGAGTAGCGAGTTCTGTCATTGAAAGCTCCTTATCTGCCGGAGGCCAGGCAGTGTTATCTAACAGCTCCCGATGTCACCTTCCTGTGTGCAGATGGGACAAAAATGCTTCCTTGGAGAAACTTTCAGCTGCGTTGTGAATCACTGAAGTATTTTAAGGCTTTTAAAGTTGTGGGATTATTCAGGAATGACGTGAACTGTGTTAGTTTTCCAGACAAGTAAACGTGCAGGGAAAGATCCTGCATTTACTGCCTGCTGTTTGGCCACAGCACAAGCTTGGCAAGGCTGGGCACTGACAGAGCACTGTCGGCATCTGTCGCCCCTTTGGCTCTTCCTTCCTGTGAAAATGATTCATCTAATTGTTGTAATCTAAAATTAATTTTATCCTGCCTCTGAAACAGGCATCTTGTGATAGTTCATAGCTTCTCACTAGGAGCTCCTTGTCTTTGAATTAAGGAGGTCCATGCTACTGCCAGCTCCCTAAGTCATGGTATTTTCCTTTCTAATGCTGTGTTTTACTGGAATGACCTCAGCTTGTAGTGTGAGGACCCAGTGAAACACTAGATTTTTTTTTTTTATTGGTCAGCCTAAATCCTGTATTTACCCAAATCTGTTTCAGCTATAGGTGGTAAAGTTTGCACATTAACAAGTATATTGTTAATGTGTAAACCGGTGCAGGAGTCATTAATTGGCTCGATCTAGTTAAGAATTAATTGTTAAGTGGCTGCTGTGACTAAGAGATGTTGCAGAGCAGATGAGGAGTACATTACAGGGCAGCATGATAACTTCTTGGATAATGCCTTCCTATCAGAAAGGTCATGGAATGGAGAAAGGAGAGAAAGGGTTTTCTTAGCTCCCTAAGAGGGAGTGGCAGTAACTGTGGCAAGGTAGTTGAGAAGAATTTAATTTAAGAACTTGGTATTCTCCTCTTCCTTCTGCACTGCTTAGGGAGCTCTGGGAGGGAGGGCTCTCTGGGTGGCTTTGCCTTGTGTTTGTCACTGTGTAATGTCAGGGAGCTTAGGTGACAGAAAAGATCTAGAGCATTTATAGATGTGGTTCCATCCGCTCTATTTAGAAAATCCTCCATGATCCTGTTTCCTGTGCAAGGCTTTAAGTGTAAAGGCAGTTGCTCGGGAGTTCTGAGTCTCTGAGCCAGGGCTTTTCTTTTGCACAGCTGGAACGTTTCAGGGAGGTTTACAAAAACCCTGTCAGTGGTGGCTGTGGGTGAGTCTCAGAGACAGCTGCAAACAAGTGCCAACCAAGGAGAGGAGGAAATTCCTCCTCCTCCTTGTATTTATTCCAGTGTCATGAGCTGTGCATGGATGTGCACCACGTCAGGCTCTTCTTTCCGAAATGGCTGATGCTGGAGGTCTGTGAGTCACGGAGGTGGTTTTCTCCTCCTGGGTGAGGGCTAACACTCGTGTAAGTGGGTGACAGTGTCCCCAGGGGC